AGGGGGTAGTGGAGGAGGGGGGCAGCTGAAGTAAAAGTTGAGGGATGATTGGAGTGGGGAACACAGGGAGAGAAAAGAGGCGATGCTCTGCTGGAAAGGCGGCTGCGAGGCGAGGAGTTTTGCAGAACAGCCTAACATTTCGGGTTGGGTTCGAGAAGCAGAGATCTTAATATGAAACTGAACGGAATTAAAGTCTCTACAACCACCCTATATTACGCGTAGCAAGGGGATACTGCCAAAGTAGAATTTTTTCATAACGCGAGAAATGTTTGAAAACAACTATTTTGAAGCAGAAGACATGGGCATTCTCCCTGCGACGCGCAATTATCGGCGAAACGCCTAGGCTGGCCTCTTTGCTTTCCTCCCGAGGCACGGCCCACGGGACATCCCGATTTCCCTCCACTCGCGGCAAGAGGGGAGAGAAGGGGGGTTTTCCCTTCGCCGGGCGCGCGGCGACGACGGGAGACGAAGCCGAGCTTGCTGCAAAGCATCGCCCGTAAAGCTATAGCCTAAAAAAAACGCATGGCGTTTGCGTTGTTTCTTATGTTCACACTTCTCGCTTCGTGATTGGCTCTTTGCCGTTCTTATCTCTCTCATCTTCTGCAAAGCGATAAAAAGATGCTCGTCCGGGACTGGACACCCTGCTTTTCTTTAGCTGTCAGCAATGTTGCTAAAACACTCAGCTGCGAAACTCACTCTTCAAACCAACATTACTAAAACACTCAGTTGGGAAACTCGCCGTCGAAACCTGGGCCACTGGTGTCCACCGAGATTAAGCTAAATATGACAACAGAGCCACTCTTTATCTTTTGTCTGTACTGTGGTCACCTTGAGCTTTAAAAAAGCATGTTTTTGGGGAAAACAAAAGGAAAAAAACTGTTTTTGTAGTTACTTTTATTGGAGTTTAGCATAAAATGAATGGCGCGTGATGTTTTTAAAATCTTTAGTTTGCAAGGTTTTGTGGCACAATTAATATTGTTTTTATACAACCATGCCTCAGTGGTGCTTTCAGATAGCGCGCCCTGACCTAGGTTCATTTTAACTTCGGTTGTAAGACGCGGAGCGTCCGCTGGAAAGACAGGGGAGGCACCCCTGTAATCTCTTCCACTGTATCTGTTTTCGGCGTCCAAATGGCCGATTAAAGCCAAAATAAAAGTAACGTGCGGTACCTCGAGTGGCCGCTGCGGGAGAAATGGCGGCGTTGTGTTCGCCATTAGCTCGGTTCGCGAGGACAGATTGGAGCCACTTTTGCAGAGCAGTTTCCCAACTGAGTGGTTTAGTAACGTTGCTTGAAACCTAGATCGCTGGAGGTCACTAAGACGAAAGTAAACACGATAACTGCGCCACCCTTTAGTGACGAGTCAAAGCATAAAAGTTCTTTATATAGCTAGTGCGAGATGGCCCTTCGAGATGGCGCCACCAGCCCTTGCGCGACTCCACCTGAACCAACACCTGCAGCCGTGGGGTTCCCGGCGTGTCCACTGCGGGAGAAATGGTGTAGTTGCAATCGCGTTTAGTTTGGTTCTCGAGCACGGATCGAAGCCACTTTTTAATGCGAAAGCCTTAACTGGGGTCCCATGGAGCGAGCCGACGTCATCAGCTGCGCCAAACGGTAGATAAATTCTCGAAGCAGCGATCTGAAGCATCCCAGCTTTGAAACCACGCAGAATGCCACGCAAAGCGGCAGTGATATGAAGCCGTCGCGCGTCTGTTTCAATTGGCGCCACCCCATGGCGCTGCGTGTCCTCGATGCAGCGGCTCCACCGTTCCACCCCCAAGGCCAGCGCGGCGAGGAGAGCGCGCGCGCTCGACCGCCGACGCAAGTACGCCGCAGGCGAACTAAGGGAGCGGAAGAACGACATGCATGCTTTCGCATTAACAACTCATAAGAAGTGCTTAGAGGTACCTCGGGCCTTTGTCAAAGCAGGCTCTTCCTATTGCAGTTTCCCAACTGCGTGTTGTGGTTGTCAGCGACTGAAGTTGCCTTTTTTTTTATTTTTTGCTACATTGAAGCGATGTACATTTGGGCTGAACTCTGTTGTGTTTTGTTATTATTCAATTTGTTAAGTCATTTAAATTGTTTTATAATAGGGGGTCCCAACACTGTCGGTAAATCTGAGCAGCTTAACTGGGACAGCGCATCGCTCATGCGCATTGCAAGGCACCAAACCTGTTCGGGGCACCCATAGCATTCGGGCCGTTTATTACAAAACTTGCGTATACATTTATGCTCCGCTTTACCACCTTACGATGGAGCGCAGCAAACTCTATGAGCCATATCAGCCAATGCAGCGCTGTAAAACTTATTACGTGACTAGTACGCGGAGCCCGCGCTACTGTGCCTTCCTTTGAGGTCACGTGACGCTCGACATTTGGAATGGTTTCGATGTCTCGTAGCATCTGCTGCGCTGCACCGTAAGATAAAACGGTGTATAGCTCCAATCATAATATCATCGTAAGCCTTTATATTTTTTTTCTGAAATGATGCGATCGTTCAATGGTTGCTTGGGTAGGTATTGGGTTTCGCGCATTTCCAACCACGAGCGGTAAATACCATTGACGAGAAAATGTTCGCAGCAACGACTGACACAAAAAGGAAAGAAAACAAAAACAAAAATTAAACGACCGACATAAAAAAAAAAGTTGTTGCAGCAACTAAACGACCGACTATTAACTAGGAGGGAGTAACAACGCCGATCTAAATCGAGACCTTAAAGCGCACGAGGAATCGAAACAAAAATTGAATGTAAGAAGCGCTAAAGAGAGAAAAAAAAAAAAAAGAAGGGAAGTTTTTCATGACGTATCTAATTACCAAAAGCACTACTGCGTTACATTGCTCGCTTGCTTTAATGCATTTTCCGCACCGTCCGCCTTCCCCGATTGAAGGGGAAGGAGTTTCAAAGGAAGCGCTAACCTTTTTCCAAGCCTGCGTTAAAGGAAGTGAGAGAGAGAAATCATGCCGAGAAGGAAGAGAAAGGGAGAAAATAACCAGAAAAGAGAAGAAGGACGAGAGGGGACCCGGGAGGTAGGTAGGTAACCGGACCTCAGAAGATCGGGTTTCGATGTCCACGTCCCAAAGTCCGTCTCTTTTGAAGAGCGCGCAGCCTCACAATGGCTTGAATGGGGCGCAGAGCTTGCATTCAAAAGGAACGCTATAGCTACGGCTCTTTACACTGAGGACCGTAAACCGATGCCAGCCGGCTTTGTTTGCCTTTCGGAAATGATTTTCGGTAGGCGGGCAGTCTCCCGAAAACGCGCCCGCCGGAGGCTGCTTGCGCTTCTATACTGCGCTTTCTTCGCGGCGTTTCGCCGGTTTTGTTCTACGCTCCGCTCAACCTGACGGTGCGGTAAAATCTACGGGCTCGTTGAGCCTGTCATACGTCGATCTTTCCTCACGTGATGACGCTCCCGCCGCCCAAACCCAAGCGCAGAGACCGGGCTAAGGTGATGAAAGCGAGGCGGTTGATAGGCCCGCTAAGCATGTCAATTCCATTGCACATTCATCTTAGGGGCATAGTTTTTGCGTGAGGTGACTATCCCCTTAAACTATATACGTTTCACCTTATGATGGACAGCAGGGAACGCTAGACGACCCATCGAAGCCAGTGTAATGCGGTGTTTGTATGTGTGTCACACGGGACCTTCGGGAGGGGCACAGCATCACGCGTGGTGCGTAGTCACGTGGTAAAAGTCGCCAGCACTTGGTTGGCCGGGAGGAATCGTAGCGTCCGCTGTGCTCCATCGTATAAACAAAGTATAGCGCAGAGTTCTCGTTGGGAAGTGATACTCCTCGTGGGTACAAAAACGACCGTCCACGCTTTCTTTGTTTTTAATTTAATGACGCTTGATTTTATTTCGTGTTTTCCGCTGTTGTTTAGTTGTCTGTTTCTGTCTTCGTTTCTGAACTGGAAACTTGTTCTAAAGAGTGGGAAAAAAATAAACGCGGCCCGAAATTTGAGCCGCTATGTCCTGTGTACCTTTCTTTAGTACTGGTCATCGTTAAGAGGTAGAGTGAAACATCAAAGAGTCTTTTACGGACGGAAGTCGTCTCGAGTGTCATGCGACGCAGGAGAGCAAGAGCTGCCTCGCATAGATATTTTTAAAAAAAGTAACCGGTACATAATTCTTCGTTTTTTTCTTTCTAATTTGGAGAGATTTTAGGGGTAACGTGGGTTGTGTAAGACTCGTGACTGAAGATGCAGCTGAAATTCGAGCTCCCCAACGATGGAGAGACTGGACGTCTTGAATGCATGGAGGGGCCCAGTTCATGTGGCCGAACAATGGTTAATTATACGTGTAGTCAGGCGAAGAGGCAAAGCAACGCACAGTAACCCAAGGTTTTGCGGAGTAACGCGGAATATACTTTCAGCTCGTGTTTCTTCTTAGAAAGTATAGGCATTTGATCGGACGTTGAGGGTCGGAGAAGCCTGGTACCTTTACTGCAAGATTGGCTGCGTTGATATGAGTGTTGCTTAGACGCAGTGCACAAGTAACAAGTGCGACACAGTTAGCACGATCATGCGACCGCTAATTGTAGTTTTATACGACGCCAGCTTACTTGATATGTTCACCCTCAGAATATTTTTCGGAGATAAGTTTCAGAATGTCACCAAGGTATCGCATAATGTAATGGGAAGCAATTTTTAGGTAGTGAAAATGTTTTTTTCGTGGTAGGTATAATTAAAATACGACTTTTCATTTTCTGATAGTCACACTGGCAATCTAGTTCTTTTACACTCTCGCATAGTAGAGTAGTTAAATAACGAGCTTTAGTGACCATCTTTTAGACAATTCTTAATCTCAAGTCACAAGGTATAAGCGTGATGTCTTGCTTCTGGAGAATGAGTTAGATTGTCTTAAGTGTGTCCACTTCAGATGTTTTTTTTTAAATTTTTTTATTCTAAGGTCAGGTAGGCAACTAATGCATTTATATGTTTATCGGAGGGTCTCTTTCAGTCCCCACTGAGTGCAGCCTCAAGTTCTCTATAGATTTACTTTAAATGTGTTGCCTAACTATCCCCTTGCATTTCGGTACGTGCATGATGCGCAAGTGAAAGCAAGTTTGTACAAAGTCTCAGTGTTTTCCGGGTGCACATTAACTTTTGCTTATGTCCACGATAATTGTTTCACTCTCTAACTTGGTGTTTGATGTTTCTCTTTACAGGATGCTCCTTTGTACAAACTCTATGTGAAGAGGACGAGTTCTGCTTCGATGGTGAGTAGGACGCTGATACTCAGGCGCAGTACCAGCGCGGCATCTATTCACGCAGAGGTTACCTCAATTATAAAGGTCTATAACCTCAAACTCCAAGTAACCTTTGTAACTAAGGTAACTTGTGCGGGATGCTTGGTTGCTGTGTTGAAGGTAGATCGCTAAGGGCGCTGGATGAAAATGTAGCCGGCCTCATGGTTATCGCCATAAAAAAAATTGTTGAGCAGTTTTCAAGTTTGGGGGACCGATAAACTGACATTTTGTTTGTCCTGGTTCGAGCGTTTTCGAAGTAGATTGGGTTCATTCCAATGTAGTCACATCCGGACGCTTATGTAATCAAACGTGCCGAATTAGTTTTCTCCACGCTAACGAGGTATTGTCGCTTCTGATAACAGCCCAGCGTTCGTAAACTTAAAGCGTTCCCTAAATCTGAGATGAAATTCTTTATCTGGTCACGTAAGTATTAGGCTCGTACAAATTGTTTCCTGCCTATATAATCGCACACACTGTCCGCTGATCTCGTATCGGTTTGTATCAAATGGCGCCGCATTGTGATAACTGTACCAGACTTCGTCAACCACTAGAATATGCATAGCACTTTATAAACAACTGCCGACGACGCCGCTGACGCCATGAATAACGAAGTTTTTCCACTCCCAGCGGAAACTTGAGTGGCACGCTGAAACATACTGCTTGAACCAGTTCAGTATTCTCGAGGGGACGAGTTTCTGTCAATCCCATCGTTTCCACATAAAACTATGACAGTGCCTGGCTTGGGTCGTACGTTTCGGGCCCCCGCCTCTAACTCAGTGACCCAGTCACTGCGCGCGCTATAGGTTTGCAGTGGCCATGATTGTTCTCTTATGTTCAACGACGAAAGGAAAGGAATCACCTCAGTCGGCCTCCTTTAGATGTGGAGCCTACGAAGCCTCAAAAGCGCCACTCCAACGTGCTCGAAAAGCGCGCTGGATGTCATAGAACCCCTAGCTCGAAAACCGGCGCCGCTCCCTTTTCAGAGAAGTACTACAAGTTGAGCGGCTCTTGAAGTTTGGAAAAGAACAAGAGCAGGCGAAATTACGCGAATAGCGTGGGCCTCTTCACACGAGTATTTTTATTTTTTTTTAGACCTTAGAGCTGAACATTTTGAAAGGTAACATTTTTCCTATCTTTGGCAGGCTTGTTTTTTCTTTCTTTTTTGTGCCAGTTTGCAGGGAAGTTTAGTCAGTGAGTCCTTTATTTTGAGCGGAAAGGCCGGTGGAAATAAAACCTCCCAGAAAGGTTTCAGTTTCAGTTCAGTTCTCCCTTACAACGCATGATTTTCGCGTAATGTTCAGAAAGTAAGTTGTGGTTGTGAATGCACGCTTTCGTTGAGCTTCCGGGGAAATGGAAAACGTGACACTTACCTATTCAAGGCATCCAGCGTCGCTGCTTCCTCCTCTAAGTTAATATTCCGTATAAACAGGTGCGTCGCTTCGCTATTGGAATAGGAAAAGAAGCTCTACAGAAGCCTGTCCTGTCCTCTCGGTAAAGAATAAAGAGCCTTCAAGGGTCAATAATTTTAGTGCCCAACCAAGGTCTAGACTCTAAAAATACGCCAAGAACAAGATGGAAAACAACGGTAGAAGCGGTTTGATATTGAAGTATAAAGTCATTCGACGCTTTGGGAACTGGCATGCAAACTGATTCATGATGTTTCGATGTGGGGCCTTGTGTTTATTTAAAGGGGTGGTGAAACGAAATTTTAGCGCCGATCTTGTTGCATAAATATGGGCTAGGGACAGGCACCACCTCGGAAATATAAATATTGCGCTGTAAAACACAGGAGAACTAATTTTAAACATAATTAAACGATTTCAAATTCTCATCTGGTGGATGGGGGGAAGTTCTCGTGACATCACTTGTGCCAAAATAGCAGCGCCGTTCTGCGGCAATACGGCGTGCCGGCAGAATTCGCCTAGGCCTGAACGCGTTCGCAAAGCCTTGGCGGAGAAAGCCAAAGCGTAGTTGGCCACAGTGAGCTCGTTCTCGTTGCGGTTCTTTGCACGACACGGCCCGAGCATGCTTCTGGCACGGCCGGTATTAGTTGCTGCGAGTCGCGAGCTGCAAGCCGACGTTAAAAAGGATATGTTTGAACTACGAGGGTGTCAGCAAGAGCCACGCAAATGCCAAATACCTGTTCACACTCGGAGCGGACACGCGCGTTTGATCGAAGTGCTGGATTCGCTCTGTTAGACCGCGTCTCGGTAAGCGCTTCTGGACCGATTTTTTACAATTGCAACTCGATACTGACATGACACTCGGCAAAGAAAGGTTAGACCGACATCGCGTAGCTCCCACGAACTGCTATAGCTCGACACTGACGTAGCGTCGAGTCAGAATAAAAATGGCATACTAATAACAGAGTGTACATACCGAGTTGCCAAGGTAATCCGTATGGCGTTTATTTGAGCTCTATATCACACAAAACAAGGAGATAGAATCAATGAGAGTCCCTTTTCGACGACAGCGTTCGTCACCGCTGTCTCGGAAAACAAGGAGATCGAGATGACAAGGGGAAAATATTGACCTCTGAAATTTAGTTCAGGGATCAAACTACTCATCCGGTAAGGGTCCACAAGGGTCGCGCGGGCATATTCCATTCAGCAGGCCAGCCGGTCATGGACAGACGGTCTTGGCCAAGGACCGCCGGAGCAACGGTGCGCCGAGTCGATGTTGCTGCTAGGCCTACTATATTCTGCCGAGCTCGCTCGGTCGGCAGAATTGTGGCTGTTTTAGCTCTTCTCGTGTGTTTGTAGATCCTGCGTTCTTGATCGTCGTGGTCTGTTTTAAGTACTCCTTCCTTTTTTCTTGCTGGTTGAAGTCGGGACGCACGAGAAGAGCACGAAGAAAAATAAATGTCCGTTGGTGGCCGATACCAAGTAGAGTAAAGCTATACGCACTCCGGAGTGCGCTTCGCGCGGAAATGGCTATACGCACCCCTCCGAGAGATCATGCCGCTCGGGCCACCCTTTTCGAACGGCGCGTGAATCACTGGGGCGCTCGTTAACACAGCCCCCCGCCTGCGTTCACGCCGCTTCGCGGCGACAGTATCGGCTGCTAATTACAAAGCGTAACCAGTACACGCCGCTTCGCGGCGTCCAGCCGGCAATCCAAGCCCCGCTGTCCCCGATCGCACCTCCGGAAAGGGAGTCCGCTACCATTTAGTTCTGCGAAGTTTCTCGACAACATTCGATTTTTTTTTTTTTTTTTTACTGTTCATCGCAAAAAAGGAAATATCGTAAATATCGCCAAATGCCTCGACAAAGCAAAATGTTTGAGAGAAAAAAAAAAAAAAAAGTTGGCCCACCGCGAATCGAACCCGCGACCACTTGCGTATCAAACGGACGTCCTAACCCCTATGCCATGGCACCGCTTAGGAATCTCGTTGTGTCCACTTTTTTTTATACGAGAAAAGCGGAGTGCGTATAGCCATTTCCGTCCGAAGCGCACTCCGGGGTGCGTATAGCTTTACTCTACCAGAGTAACTGAGCGACGCTGTCGGCCTTGTTGATTTGATCGTAAAAAGTGCGTAAGACAGCTTCGGAGCTGTCGTAGGATTCTGTCGTAACCTGCGCAAAGGTTACGACAATTTCGTTTCGAGAGCACGGGTTTTCTCTCAAATTTGTCGTACGCACTTTTTTCGTCGTGAATTCGCTTTGAGAATCCGGCCTCAGAGCTGGTTTTGTCAGTGCTGCCGTGGTTGCCGACTTGCCGTGGTCCCGTGGTGCAGCGTGCGTGCAGCCCTTGCACATCTCAAACGGCCACGTTGTCACAGGTCGTAAATCGTCGACGCGCCACCAAGTGGCAACGCTCGTAACCACAACATTCACGCCGTAGCCTTTCCCGACCGGCACAAGTGACGTCACGAATGCGCCCAATATCCCAAGACGCATCGCGCTCTCCGATGGCCGATTTTTGAGCGCGCGCCCAATCGGGCCCATAAGGGTGAAAAATATAGCCATCCGTTCAAAATACAAACGCGCGATTATGATTTATGAATATCATTGATCATATTGAACCTATTTCTGACCATAATAGGTGTATTTCAAGTTTCGCTTCAGTATCCCTTTAAGCTGTTCAGCTTCGGTTTCCGTCTGATGTTGTTTCGTTCTCGCGCGCATTGTTCGACCCGGCTACTTTTATGTATCTGACGTCTCTAAGTTTTTTATAGTTCGACGTATAGTACAATCTTCGTGGTGTGAGCCTCACGTGTGCAAAGTTTGATCTTTATTGAAACAAGTACGCACCGATACATACTAAGAAATAAAAAAAAAAAGAGGGAAAGTGTTAAGGCCGGTTCAGACACTTGCGTTTAACTGCGTTTGACTGCGTCGCGTCGAGAACCGAAAGCGAGTCAGCGGCACATTTGTGCTTCGTAGGAAGCGTGGAATCCAATTCAAGGAACCATCTTGGCACGCGATATAAGCAGCAGGGATGTCCTGGTTTCTCGCAGCCGCAACGCAGTCAAACGCTGCCATACGCAACTGTCTGAACCAGGCTTTACATCGACATCGACATCGTGGTTGCGCCCAGACAGACGAAGAGACCAGGCTGACGAAGCGAGTGCTTGAGACAACTACAACCCGCTTTATTCGAACACAACACAGTATATATCAATCGAGGGAGAAGGGTTGTTACAGAAAGGGAGAGGGGAACAACTATGACTTTAGTCGCTAACAATCATGAGTGGGCGCAAAAGAGAACAGGAAAGGGGGCAGGAATCCCGCGCTGCCTTCTCTCGTGATACTGCCGAGGTGACACAGCAGAGCCCGATCATAACAGAAGGAAAGAAAAAGAAACAAAGAAATAAAGGAAATAAGAAAGGTTACCGGATGCAAAGTCGTACGTCGTAACTGTGCTTTACCGCACGCAGCCCACTCACTGTCAGATGGCTCAAACCACGCCAAGTCGCTTTCGTTCAGGGCTTGTATTGGCGTCCCATCAGAAGCCATTGTCTTGGCCTT